CTGATAGGCGCGCGACTCGCGGAATTCGTGCAAGGCGAGCACAGAGTGGTAGCCGATAGGGTAGTTTATTGGACAGACTCCACTACGGCGCTCCATTGGATTCAAAACGATACGGCGCGTTACACCCCATACGTAGCACATAGATTAGGGGAAATATCGGAGAAGACGTCACCCGAGCAATGGAGGTGGATACCGACCGCAGACAACATCGCGGATCAGGCAACGCGCATTAATTATACGTACAAGGAAGAGAGCGACAAATGGTTTACGGGACCGCCATTCCTGTACGAAGAGGAAGATCGATGGCCTCGACGACGGGAAGAGAAGGCAGGGGATGAAGATGACGAGCTGGAGGAAGTCGTGGCGCACCAGAGCGACACCAGGGGCGCTCCACACCTGCCAGACATCGAGAGGTTCTCTTCTTACGAGAGATTGGTCAGGGCCACCGCTCGGATATTACAGTTCGTCGATGCCATGAGAGGAAAGGCGCACGGACTAACATTGGACCACATCCATAAAGCAGAGCGGATGTGGATAGAGCGAAGTCAACAAGAGAGTTTTGCTGAAGACATCGGTCGACTGCAGAAAGGAAGGAACTTGGCAACCGGCAGCGCGTTAAGGAAGCTCGACCCCATATTCGAAGATGGCGTACTGCGAGCTAGAGGACGGATTGACGCAGCCAATGTGGACAGCCAAATGAAGAGGCCCATCATCCTGAACGGACGCCACCAGTTTGTAAAGCTGCTTGTGGAGAAGGCGCATAAGGAAGCAAGCCACGCCAACAGGGAACGGGTAGTGAACGACCTACGCACGAGATATCACATACTTCGACTACGACCGACCGTACGAGAAGTGGAGCGGAGATGTCTGCGGTGCAGGGTACGCAAGGCGACACCACGGCCAGCGGTTATCGGAGATCTACCACCTGAACGGTTAGGGGCATTCGCGCGACCATTCACCTACACCGGAATCGACTATTTCGGGCCTATAACGGTAACAATAGGACGTAGGCATGAAAAACGGTGGATAGCGTTATTCACTTGTTTGACGACGCGCGCGGTACATTTAGAGATAGTTTATTCCCTAACGACGGACTCGGCGATATCGGCATTGCGGCGCATGGCGGCTAGGCGTGGGTGGCCACGGGTCATCTACTCGGATAACGGGACAAACTTTCATGGGGCGTACACCGAATTACGACGGGCGATGGAAGAGTGGGCACCCCTGCTGAAGGACTACGCGTTGACTCGGCGGACGGATTGGAAGTTCATCGCGCCGGGTGCGCCGAACCAGGGAGGCGCATGGGAGCGTCTCGTGCGCTCGGTGAAGACCGCGCTCGAAGCCACACTCAATCAGAAGAGCCCACGGGAGGAGACATTAGCGACGCTCCTCACAGAAGCCGAAAACACCGTTAACTCTCGACCGTTGACGCACGTACCGGTCGACATCGACGAAGAAGAGGCATTGACACCCAACCACTTCTTGCTGCTGGGACCATCGAGCCTTCCAGTGACCGCGCCGTGCACGCCTAATGATCGTCGGGCGTGGAGAGCGGCGCAGGGACTTGCCGACGAGTACTGGAAGCGCTGGGTGAAGGAATACCTGCCGACGCTGGTTGCGCGCGGAGACTCAAGGGACGTGCAGCAGCGCCCGGTACAAGAAGGAGACCTCGTCGTGGTGGCAGACGGGACCATGCCGCGGAACGTGTGGCCAAGAGGAGTTGTAACGAGGATCTTTCCCGGACCAGACGGCGTGGTACGGAACGTTGAAGTAAGGACCAGGGGCGGATTGCTGCGGCGGCCGGTCAGGAGGATCGCCGTCCTCCCGAGTGCAGCCTAGGCTCGCAAGGCTACGCCGGGGGGAGAATGTTACGGACAGCGAGAGACCCGCCGCCCCGTCGCCCCTTCGTTCCCCGTTACGTCCCGCGCACCCCGCACGCCGGCGCTGATCACGCGATATCGGGCAACCAATCAGCGCGCGTGCGGCGAAAATTGCCATCGGGCGGCTAACCCGACGAAATGAAGCGCTCTTCTCGGAAATATAAGAAGGGCGCCTCGGACGGTCGTTGTTCATTCGTTCATTCGGTTTCATTCGGAAGCGGCACTCGAGAAGACAAGGAAGAATCAAGACAGAAGACTCCATACTGAAGACCTCCCTTTTGTATAGTGATTAGTTAATGTACCGAACCCTTTGTAAATAGTGAATATAGTATAATTAAAAGTACCATCTTTTCTTCGAGCAGTCCCCTAGTATAGCTAACCTCACACCGCCAGTTAAAATAGCAAATACAGTCCACTACTCTCCATCCACTTTACTCCTGATTGTAGTCAGCTCCGAGGTAGAAGTTTTTCCTCTGGCTGTTTTGATGGATTTCCAGAAAAACTATCCTATCGAAATCATTCTTTCGCACTTCTTTCTTTCTAGACACAACTTCTTTCGCTGCTGATTTCAATCTTTTATACTTCATTATTGCTTCCTTTATCTCGTCATCCGTTGTCATTTGAATTTTTTGGTTAGCTTTTGTTGCTAACCAATCCAACCACGCTTTCTTCTTTTCTTGCACAACCCTTTGTACATCTTTATCCATCCACATATTATAATTCTTTCTTCCTTTCCTTCTTTTAGCTACCCCGCATACCTCAATAGCAACATTCACGACCTCTTTCTTAAATGTCTCCCATAAATCTTCAATCACACCTATCTCTTCTATGCCTTTAAAACTTTCTTTCAGTTTCTCTACATACTCATCTTTCTTTTCTTTTTATTGTAGATTTTACTCTGTCCAAAACACTCGTAGGCCCCTCGGTGTCGCCACCGTTTAAAGAGGCCACGCAACTTTGATATGTAAAAGTTGTGCGATTTTGTGTATTAAGTGTCTGCGCATGTGAACTATTAGTGGAAACTGTGAAACAAGCGCTCTGATGGTTATGTGATTCTCAAAATAAGGTGTCTGTCTGTTTAGGCGCCTTGAGATACCATTGCCAACTGTCAGCTGTCTGCTGGCTCAAGTTGCCGTCGAAATCTCCTAAGGGCTGCACAATGTGACGCATCAACATGTTGTGAAGCAGTATACTATGAAGGATAATTAGCCAGTTATTAACGAAGAAGAAGAGGCCACGCATTCGGTATAAAAATTAAAAAAAAAACATTGACAGCAATTTGAATTTTGACAGTTATGATACGTAAGGTCAGGTGAACAGGTGATAAAGTAACAAAATAAAGTAACAAACAAAACAGAAACGGGTATAACCAGGCTGGTGCAACTTCCATAGTAAAAATTATTTGTACTACAGGGGTCAAATTTTAATGACGGTTACTCTTCTTTATGCTTTTTGTGATATGTCTATTAACGACATTGTCAAATGAAATAGGTTCAAATGTCAAATCAAACAATTATATTTGTATATATTTTATTAATTAAGATTGCTTTTAATTTTGCTATAGGAGGCGTTGTTCATTTACAGAATTGTTAAGAAATTAAATATGCATTATAAAACTTTCCAATTAAATGGTGCAAGAAGCGGAAAAAATGATAACAAGAAAAGGCTATTCGTAACAATATTTCCCTTAGATGATGAAAGGTATGTGGTGATTTCAACTTTAATAGTAATATGATATTCAACGCGAGTATATTTTTGGACTAGCCATCTATGTAGGACATGTTTTTATAGTGTACGATTGTGTGCACAAATACAAACACACTATTTCCTAAATCTGATAGTTCGATGGTTTGGCAATCCGAAACGAACCATACTTAGAAACTACAAGTCAATTCTGACTGCTAACATTCTATTTGTTGAATAATAATGTGATTTTATTTTTATTATTTTTTCAGATGCAAGCAATGGGTGAAATAGCTGGCACATGCACCAATTGAAAAGATTCACATGTTAAGACATATTTGTGACAAACATTGCATATGAACCCAACTAAAACGAACTTTATTTCTTTAGTGGACTTACTTTAAACTTCCACAATTTATGTGTATGTTAATTAGGTTTCATTTACATGTAGCAAAAGATAATATCTCTCTAATGTCACATTTTGGCAAGAATTAGATTATATTTAACTACTAAACTAAATCATTATTTTATTCATCAATAAACAATAAACATTAGCTATAATGAGCACTTATTTTGAAAGCGACAATTAGTAAACGATCTCTGCGAATAGTATGTACATAGGTGCCTCTGTGAAGAAGCCTAGCGATTTGTACATAGTATTTGTTACACATAAAAGCAATTTAATCCAATCAGTATTAAAAACCCAATATGTTTACCCTTAAAAAAACTAACGTTGATAACAAGCATCCAGACGCAGACTATTTATTTTACAGCATAGCAACAATTGTTCAGTGCGGGAAGGAATCCTCGGTCCTACAATGCCGCAACCAAACGCTTAGCCACTGCGCTACGGAGTCGTCATTTATTTTTTACTTAATTAATTACTAGTATAAAAGTGCGTTTTTTATTTTATATTTTCTTTATACATACTTTTGTACCTAATTGTAGAGATATAAATACAAATTGCTGTGTGTAAAATACATTGATTTCTTATCCTCATCGGCATTTTTACTCAATCCACACGTTAAAAATTTTATTTCTCATAAATAATTCAGTATAGAGATCTAACTTTTCTTATGTAAAAATATCGATAAACAATATATCGATAAAGGTTATATCGATAAAATTATTCGAGGATAGACATTTGCAGCACTATTGTAATTCGTCAATGTTGTCAGCACTGTTTCTCAAAACTAAATGTCATATCTTGATGTTGGTAGTGTAACTTGGCGTAATTTCATGCAATTATTTTTACTATGGAAGTCCCTCTCCGCTAGGAGTAAAGTATTCTGTGGTCCCGCCTCTTAAACGTAGTGATTATATTCTCTTTGGGTATAACTATAAGGGTACGAGTATGTTTTCGTTATCCTTAGATAAATAAATAAGTAGGTAGTAAGCTAATTAGTACGCCTTCATAGAGTTTAGATAATTTTTAAAATGTCTTCACATAATTCACAAAGGAGCAGTTTAAGCAGCCACAATAGAAAACTTAGATATCGAGCATTACTCGAAGACTTGTCAACTTTAGGTGAGTTTATTTTAAAAGTTATTAGTAAAATACAATTATAACGATGTTATCCGAAGAAACTAGACTACTAGCTAACTAACTACTAGCTCGTCTCTAGAAATTTTTCTTCGGTTTTAGAGCTTAAAGCCTTGTGGAAAATTTAGAGACGATGGCTGGAGACCCGACGTTATGGCTTTGATCCCTTGAGAGAGAAGTAAACTCTTAGTGTGGGATGCTACTTGCGTAGACACTTTGTCAGCCTCATTTAGAGCCATATTTAGAGCCTGGCAGCTGAACTAAGTAATTAGCACAAATATGAGTCTCTGAGAGATACCTACATATTTGAGCCACTTGCTGTAGAGACTATAGGTCCGTGGGGTTCACATGTTGTGTAAATTTTAAAGGAACTTTATTTGCTGCTGGTGAGAAGGCAGATCCTTTTTTTGCTCAAAGGTTGCGAATTCGCATTGTGTCGCATTGCAGTTTTGTGTACAAGCCCTTAGCACTGCTTTGCTTGCTCTCACGTGTTTGTTCATAATTTAATTCTTTGTTTTGAAATTGCATACCTCAATCATCTGTCATATAATACAACAATAGTGGATAATTGTAATTTCACAAATTATAATAAAAATTATAAAAAATTGGTTGCTCATCTTTATCAAGGCAAGTAAACAGAATGTTTCTTTTAGCCAGTTTTATTTTATTCTATCCTGCTGCTACTACCTAATATTTTAAAAGTAAAACATTCGATGTTGATTTGTTGTTCAATTACAGCAAATGGGGTAAAGATGGGAGCTTTTGAATATGGTAGAGCCATATGGTGCATCTATATTAATTGTATAATTGTAGCACAAATGGGTGGGCTCAGCCAGGGAAGGACCACACTCACAGAATACCACTGTAAAATAGCAGCTTAATGCTGCTGTGTTTTGTATGGTGAGTGTAGAGAACCGGACCCCTTTTTACTGGGAATGAGGCATATTTTTCGGGATTAATAATTTGTCAGTATTTTACGCAAAAAAAATTACTTAAAGAAATGAATTAAATTTACTCTAAAAATTGCAGAGGAAAACAATGACAATGTACAGCAAATGGAACGCACTGCGGGTGCTGTGAAAGAGGTTCAAAGCTTGCTTGCTGAAGGTGGTGTGGAGGAACGTGTGAAACACCCTGGTAATTATACTATAGAATAAAAATTTTTGTTATTAACTCTTAGGGAGTCTTATCCTAATTTGTAGCTACTGGGTCCACTGGACCCAGTATAATATTATATGCTTATTCCGAAACTGCTTTATAAACGTAAACAGTTACATTCTAATGAGGATTCGATATATGTAGAGAAAAATATTATTGAATCAAATACTAATATTTATTGTTTTTACATTTACAAAAGCTGTTACGAAAATATAATAAATTTGTCCCTAGTTTTGTGACAAGTTTTAGGCTTATATCATTATAATTTCAAACAAACGCTTATTTCAAACAAAAACTAGTGGTTTCTTAAACAATTCTACTGACACTTTTTAAAGTAACTGACTACCAACGTCGTCATTTGCAGTGCTACATTATCATTGAAAGGTACTAAGAGCGGCAACGTTGCAAATGTCGAATTTGAATAGTTACTAAACCATATATTAAGGGCTGGGTCTGTTGAACCCATTAATAAATAAATTTATTGTATTATGCATACACAAGTTGTAAAGTTAAAACAGTACATGTCTAAGTGGTAGAGCCATGCCGCAGCTATATTAGTAGTATAGTTGTAGCACGAATGGGTCGGCTCGACCGGGGAAGGACTACGCTTTCACAGAATACCAGTGTAAAATGGCAGCTTGACACTGCTGTGTTTCGTTTCGTGAGTGTAGAGAACCGGAGACCCATTTTACTGGAAAAGAGGCATTCCATCTTAGTCCTTATGGGTGACAAAGCATCTGCATTTTGATTCTTTATTGAGGATAAATGTCTACGGGTCACAGCAAAAGGTAGACTGTGTGCTAGTTTGTCACCCTATCCTATAAAAAGTAATTAACAAAAAACCGAAAGCGTAAAATGTTTACTGAGAAGAGAAAGGTGTTACATCCTATGTCACTTCTACAAATAACATCACCACATGTCTTAAAATCCATCAAATCATTTAGGCTACAGAGCGTGCCAAAGAAATAGACATATATAGGTATATACTTTATACTGTTACTCCTATTAGTCTGGCCTTTCCATCCACGGAGCAAATACAAAGAAGAGACGGCGTAAGCCCTGTGCACTGTGATTCTAACTAGGTCCTGATGTCATCACAGTGGGTCGTGTCTTTAGTTAGTGTACCGCCAGCGTTCGTCCTGTGCACTTGTGTTTCGAAAATCGCAAATCGGTGTATTTTCGTAGTATTAAGAAGAAAAGGATAACGTGTTGTGTTATATAGTGTAAAAACTACTCATATAGACGCTCTGTTGCTATGGATGCCATCACATTTCATTTGTAAGTAATTTTATACCTAATTTATCAGTATAGTTCTAGAAAATTCTCATTCTGTCTGCTTTCAAATGTAATTAAATATATTCGACACTAGATGATGACACTTTCTTTCTGGCGACTTTTTTGTCATAGGAGCAAAAAATATAAAGGTACGTAGAGCTCAGTAATGGTAAAATACCATATCATATCATACAAAGGTGCTGAAATTTGTTTTGCATTCAGTCCTAAAGAATTTTTAATCGCCAAAATATTATTATAGTTTTATAATCATTTTGTAAACAGTTCGCCATCTATAGTCAAGGTACCTAAACTACATTGCAACATCGATATGGAACGATGCAAGTAGTTTTACTATTTATCGGTAGATGGAAAATAGTTAAGTGGGCGGGGCTTAACACCCCCTCACCCCGCTAATTGTCACGCGTTGTTACATAGTGAAATCTAATCACAACACCTCCTCTTTGTATTTGCTCCCTGTTTCCATCCATTGTTATCAAACTGAAATTTACCTGTGTCAATAAGGTGTGACTGCTTATTATTTCCTGTACTATTACTGAATTAAGAGTTCCTGAAAATAAGCATATGTAAAATATTTTTTTACTTAGGTTTTTTTGTCGTCCTCTGTGGCAGGCAATTGGCAATCGCTGTTTTTAACCCCCGACGAACACAGATGGGTGTTATATTAACGTGTGTATCTGTGTAGTTAGACACCATAGCATCAAACGGATGAACCAATTTAAATTTAGTTTATTTTTGTTTGACAGGTGACTTGATATTGAGTGTTCTAAGCTATGATACAAGAAAATCTTTTGAACTGTATGAACTCATCACCTCTGTTTGTGTCAGGGGCTATTAAATTTTTTTAAGTTATTTTTTATAAGCTCCCTTGGCATTTCTTTGGTGAGGTTTAACAGGGGACTTGTAACGTACTGCAATGATGATGAACGATTGTATTAATTTCCAGGTGAGGGCTACTTGGACTCCCGGGTATTGCGCGCCACTAGTGACCTCGCTTTGCGCTGTTCTGAATCCGTCAGTGGCAATGTTAACACGTACGACAAGCATGAGCTCGCGGCTCATATCGTGAGTGATATTTATTATATGTTTTTTCTTCGCCTCTTGGCATTTTCTGTCAGCTATCATTACAAAAGACGGACAAATTGACGTATGTATTTTTCCCTTTGTGAAAAATCATCATTATCAATGCGGGTTGCACATGTCTACTAATCCACCTATTTTCTGTGATGTTGGTGCTGTGAGCCTATACGGCTCTTACAGCTTCATCTGACACAGGGCTATATCCACTACTGAACATAGGCTTCCCCCGAAGATTGCTACAAAATATGACCCTGAACCATATGCATTCATCAATTTCCTGTTTCTATATCTTACCAGTTCCATCTAGTAGTGAGCCGTATAAGGAAGCTCAAGGTCGCTTAGGGGGCAATGGAGAGTATTATTCTCGAAGTTTCTTTGTTTGATAGACCACGATATGAGAATATCTTGTTACGTGGTAGAGCCATGCTGCAGCTATTTTAGTAGTATAGTTGTAGCATGAATGGGTCGGCTCAACCTGGGAAGGACCACACTCTCACAGAATACCAGCGTAAAATAGCAGCTTAACACTGCTGTGTTTCGTATGGTGAGTGTAGAGAACCGGAGACCCTTTTTACTGGTAAAGAGGCATTCCATCTTAGTCCTCATGGGTCACATCTGCATTTTGATTCGCAAACGAGGATAGATGTAGATGTCTATGGGCCATAGCAACCACTTACCATCAGGTGGACTGTGTGCTCGTTTGTCATCCATTCCTATAAAAAAAAATTCGCCAGTAGAACCGATATAGCCCAACGGATTAGTAAGCTGAAGTGGCAATAGGCCGGCCATGTAGCTTGAACAACCAACAAGCGATAGGGGCATAAATGTTCTAGAGTGACGAGTTCGTACCGGTTACTGAAGTGTAGAGCTGCTCCCTCTCCACTTGCAAATAAGACATGTGTGTTGTTCCAGAGAGAGAACCCAGAGTTCTGGGAATTTGTCTTTCCCCGTGAGGTGCCAGCAGTGTCGTCCTTGTTCGGCACTTTCGCGGCCACACCTCCCGAGCAGCGACCGCGCAAGCCTAGGAGGAGGGTTGAGAAGCAGCAGACAGCTGCATTAAAGGCACCAGAGCGTGTCGATAAGTAAGTCATAATTAGATCTACAGTGTGTGGGGATGAAATGTTGAAAGGTTGGAGTTCGGTAAGAAATAATTAAGACCTAGTGTTCACAGCAAGGATGATGTTTAATTAATTTAAACATTTTACCAATCCTAACGGTTTAATTGCTTTGCGTGTTTCCAATGCAGGGAATGGCGAATGAATATAAATAGTTTTGTACTAATAACTTGTATTATAATTATAATGTCCCCCAGATCAAATATCGGTCAGTATGTAGGCCTGTCTCATCGAAGACTAGCCATCTGCGCGTGACAGGATTACATTACAGTGCCTGAGTGTGTGCACAAGCACAAAGGCACTCTCTGTTCCTGTACTCTCATAGTACGATGGGATGGTTATTTGACACGACACTACTAACTACTTATTAACGGCTTAACGTGCTTACCGAGGCACGGAGAGGAAACAACACCAACTTCCTGACTCCGGGCTGGTTAATGAGAATACTGAGAAATTTTCTTTACAGAAAAACGCAATTACTGATTTTGGCCCGACTCGGAACTTGAACCCAGGACAGACCAACGAGCCAGTCAATTTATATATAGTAAATCGCAATGTTTTGTTTTCATTTCGTGATTTATGTTATTTTATGATTGTAAATAATTAGATATGTGTAAATGGAAGAATTGATAGGAATAATATAATTTTGTAAATATATGCAAGAAATAAATGCTACAGCTGAATAGATTACAGATAGTCTCCCTTTACTACCTAGGTGTTATTACCCAGGGGTGATAATGCTCTTGTAGTCTTTTCATTTGCTCGAGTCAATGGGCAAAGTACCATGTCGGGGTGGTGCAAGAATATCCTCTACCGCATAGCATCTCATTTGTATCGTAAGAGGTGACAGGGGAAACAAATCAACAGATTAAATATTAATTCATTATTTAAATAAAAAATGTATAATTTATGTATTTCAACTTTCAGCTGCACATTAACACAGATATTCCATGTACAAAATATAAAGTAAATAGTTTTTTGCCTTGACAGGAATATTTAAAATCACACAAAATTAAATAGTACTCGTAATTATTTGTTTGACTGATACTCTGTTTGACTGTTTGTTTTGTGACCACAGACTATTGTGTTTGACATTGACAAGTATGAACAAAAAATAGTGAATGTTTTATTTTATTATATTTAAGGTATTTGTAACAAATATCATAAACAAATTTTAGGTTTCTGCACTCCTCCATATATATATAAATATAGTTAGTACGTGTGATGTCAATGTGTTTCTTGCAAGCCATTAATAAAATTGTGTGGTGATGATGGCGACTGTAAAACATTTACAGATTAGAAAAAACAGAAGAAGGCTCGGAGATGGTGAGCCGCGTCTACCGGTTATTAACCAAGGCGTGCCGGAACGGACCGGTGTCCTACTTCCGTTTAGTACTGGACCCCGACTCATTCGCCCGCACCGTCGAAAACATTTACTACGTGTCGTTCCTTGTGCGCGACGGTATGGTCGCCATCGATCTTGGTGAGCTGTCACATTTCACACAGTTAGAAAAACTAATAGGATTTTTTTTAAATTCAATCTTATTTATTACTTTGAGTTTGAATTTGTGAAGAAAAATCTTTGTACCCCTGAGAGAGGCGCATGTTCAAAATTGAAGCATTGCAGGTATTATTTCTATTTAACTGAAGTGACAAAAGAACTTACTTTCCATGGTAAGCGGCTGCCACAAATATGTTGTCGCATCTGAGGACTAAGATATAAATGCCTCAGAGTGTGAAATTATACTGGTGCTCTATGTCCTTTAGATCAGAACTATTTAGTTGCAGAAATAGAAGAGGGTGATACCCTGGAGGTAGAAAAGGAATCCTAACAACTAAGATTGGTAAGAGAGAAGTAAAGAAGTTTCATGACCAAGTTTCATGGTCATAAGAAACGAATTTAATTAAACGATATAACTCTTCCAAATTTTAAGAGATCTTTCTCGGGTCAAGCAATAAATTCACAAGCTATAACATACTGGCTTATATTTTGAAATACTATTACTATCCCCTTCTATTACTTGACTCATGAATGTAATAAATGGCTTTTAACTTTTAGATGAGGAGCGCGGTCTACCGTTCATCAAGCCGGTCCCTGCCTCGGAACAGGAGGAGCGCAACCCCTCCGGCGACAACCAGTTCATCATCTCGATAGATATGGCGAGGTGGCAAGTAAATATTAACATCACTACACTTATAGGATAAATACAGATTACAGTGCGCACCAGTAGATTTATTTCTCTTTGGTGAAGTGATAATAATAATATCCTCCAGACCGAATCTCAGTCACGGCGGCCAGTCTCAACGGAGACTAGCCATCTGCGCTGGACAGGATTGTAGTGCCCGAGTGTATGCGCAAGCACGAGTGCACTCTATTCCCTCACTGTCATAGTCCGATGGGACGGTTATTCGACACGAGCGGAGAGAGATCAGGCGCAGAACCAACGGCTTTATGTTCTTTCCGAGGCACGGCGCTGAAACACCACCAACTTCCCGACTCCAAACTGCTACTAGGAACTTCTTGATAGAAAAATCCAAAAGCTGATTTTGGCCCGACCTGGGATCTCACGATAAGTATATTAAGTATAGAAGCCGCGTTTACGTCCATCACATCAAAGTATGTTTCACTGTACCCACTCCGAGTCTTTGTACTTTGTACTTCACCAACTTTTTGACTGCCTTGTTGATCAATGTCTATGGGAAATTCACATGTCATTTGCTCAATTGAAATTTACACGTGGAAACTTCTTGATACTGCTATCACTGTGATAACGACTTGCACCGCTGTCTTTAGTTTGTTTCATCACTGACCCACTGTAACCACTGCTGGATTTAGGCTCCTCGTATTATAAAGAGAAATTGTCATGGGCACTCAATAAAGATTCCAACTTATGACTTTTGAGTTTCGCAATCCGTATCCTTAACACTTAAACTACTCTCAATATTGGATTAAAAATATGTAAAACAAATTCAGTTGTTATGGGATTGTAAGACTCTAATTGTACAGTCAACCTTGTACAGCTCAAGGACCCTCTTTAGACGTGTATGGGGCACCGAGTCGAATACCTTTCTATAGTCTATCCAGGCGTCGGAGAAATTCCGACGGTTGCATTTAACCACTTTACCAATGACCACGTCAATGAGGAGTGGTTTCTTGGTTCCACGACCATTGCCCTGACATCCATTTTGAGCGCGCGACATCACTTGATTTGAGTCCAGGAGATGAGTGATTCCCGCGTTGAAAATAGATGTTAGTGTCTTGTACATAGGCTGCACTAAAACTAACGGGAATGGAATATTTCCACTGTTCCTGTCATATTAAAATATTTTTAATTGAAAACTCCTTGGTTTTGAAAATCGAATACCATTTATAAATTTAAAAAAAGATTCTCGGTCTTGTCACAAGGTTTTGTCAAACTTGTTTAGTCATTGAGAAAATGGAATTGACTCGAGAAAATTCAAGAGCGATGATTTATTATGACTTTCGAAGTGGTTTAACACAAAAACAGTGTGTTGACTGGATGATTTCTGCATTTGGTGATGAAGCCCCATCCAAAACCACAATTTATCGCTGGTTTGCTGAATTTTAACGTGGATGTGTCAAGCTCAGTGATGATCCCCGTCAAGGTCGTCTAAAAACTGCAGTCACCCAAGAAAACGTTGATGCTGTGCGTAAGCTGATTGAGGAAGATCGACATGTGACATACCGCGAAATTCAGGCAACTTTAGACATTGGCATGAGTCAAATACAAATAATCTTGCATGAACAATTAGGTGTAAAAAAGTTGTTTTCCCGATGGATACCGCATTCGCTCTGTGAAGAGCAAAAAGCGGCTCGCGTTACTTGGTGCGTCAGTACTCTCGAAAGATTCAACGCAGGATTCTCAAATGCTGGAAAATGGAAAAATGTGTCAAATTTCGCGGAGAATACTTCGAAAAGCAATAAATACATTTTTAAACAGTAATGTTGTGTCACTTCCTTGATTTCCGAAATTTTCAGTGCCGCCCTCGTATATGGTGGGTGTATGGTATCCTGGTCTTAAGGAACCAAATGAGTGATCCCAGTAGTGAAGAGGCTCGGGAGCGACTTCTGGTCGAGAGCCTCTTGGATCTGTTGGGCAAGCACAGCGTGACACACCACGAACCCCTTTAGCCAGTAGTGGTGCTGCCCGTCAAGTCCCGGACTGTTCCAGTTCGGGGCTCTACGGACTGCCTCAATTACATCGACCGGCGTTAGGATGACAGGGTTCATGGGCGTAATACTCGCACACTGACTTGCCACAACTTCCGTCCAAGGGCCCTCGCTGTGGTTAATGGACTCCGATCACAGGCTTCGCTAAAAGGCACAGTATCGGCTTGATTTGGCTTTTGGTGCGTTCCACATACCGCTGTTCGCTCCAGTGATTTATAGAGCTTCTTCTGATCACTCTGGAAGAGGCGATTCCGGTTAAACCGCTTTGACCTCTCAGTATATCGCCGAATCCGCTTCCCCCAAGCAGCGATTCTTTGCATCAGGTTGTCTATGCGCTCCGTTAGTTTCTGCGTGATATCTGGCTGGACGATCGAGGAAGCGATCGAGCGGAATCAAGGCTCCAAAGTCTTTGCCAGAGATCTGTCTGCCAGAAAGAGCCAACTGTCAAAGCTGAAGACCGAGTGTGGCAGCATCGTTTCCGGGGCACCTGAGATTTTGAGTGAGATTGAGAGGTTCTATGAACAGCTGTACACGTCATCGTTGGAGCCATACGCAAGTGTGAGTAACGATCCAAGAGCGAGTCTTATCCGACACTATTCCGAAGATATCCCGGACGTCAGTCTGAGCGAGATTAGAATGGCTCTCAAGCATCTTAAAAACGGCAAGGCCCCAGGCGAGGATGGAATTACAGCGGAGCTTCTGAAAGCGGGTGGAAAACCGGTACTGGAAGTCCTTCAGAGGCTCTTTAATTCCGTCCTCCGTGGTGGCATTACACCGGAGGCGTGGAGCAGAAGTGCGGTGGTCTTGTTGTTCAGGAAAGGTGACAATGCTCTCTTGGAGAACTACAGACCGATTTCTCTTCTGAGCCGCGTCTACGTGCTGTTTTCGAGAGTAATTACGAATCGTCTCGCACGCAGACTTGACGACTTCCAGCCTCCCGAACAAGCCGGTTTCCGAAAGGGCTTTAGCACCATAGACCACATACATACCCTTCGGCAAATTGTACAGAAGTCCGAGGAGTACAATTTGCCACTATGCCTGGCATATGTGGACTATGAGAAAGCCTTTGATTCCGTCGAAATTTGGGCGGTGCTGCAGTCTCTTCAGCGGTGCCAAGTTGACTGTCGGTATATCGAAGTGCTGAAGTGCTTGTACAGTAGAGCTACGATGGCTATCCGAATACAGAACCAGAGTACGAAACCTATCCAATTGCAGAGAGGTGTAAGACAGGGTGACGTTATATCCCCGAAACTCTTCACCGCTGCATTGGAAGACGTTTTCAAGCTTCTGGACTGGAAAGGATACGGTATTAACATCAATGGCGGGTACTCACCTTCGATTTGCCGACGATATAGTCCTTATGGCAGAATCGCTGGAGGACCTAACCACTATGCTCAATGACCTCAATAGTGTCTCCCAACGGATAGGTCTTAAGATGAACATGGACAAAACAAAGATTATGTTTAATGTCCATGTCACACCTATGCCGGTAGTTGTTGGGAGTACTAAGCTTGAAGTTGTTGACGAGTATGTTTACCTGGGACAAATAGTCCGACTAGGTAAGTCCAACTTCGACCGAGAGGTCAATCGACGGATTCAACTCGGCTAGGCAGCTTTCGGGAAACTACGACACATCTTCTCGTTAGACATACCTCAAAACCTGAAAACGAAATTGTACATCCAGTGCGTGTTGCCAGTGATGACTTACGGATCTGAGACGTGGTCCTTTACTGCTGGCCGTATGAGGAAGCTCAAGGTCGCTCAGCGAGCTATGGCGAGGGCTATGCTCGGGGTGTCTCTGCGTGATAAACTTAGAAATGAGGATATCCGCAGTAGAACCAGAGTAACCGACATAGCCCAACGGAATAGTAAGCTGAAGTGTATTAAGTAATTATAAATGTTGCGAGAAAATTAATCTTCCTTTGAGTGTTTTGTCGCTCACATGGTCTTCATGCAGTAGGGACTTGAAGTGATAGAGTAGCATTTTGCTTTGTAAAATTCATTTTAATTTATAAAAAACCGGCCAAGTGCGAGTCGGACTCGTGCACTGAGGGTTCCGAACAAATCCGTAGGTATATAAGCTTAAAATTATTAAACCATTTTTATTATATGATGTAACTAAAAATTTATGCATTTCGCAATTTTTCCTTTATCTGTGCTATAAAACGTTGCTTCTTACTAAATTTCAAGATTCTGAGTTCACGGAAAGTACCCTGTAGGTTTTGATTCTCTTGCGAATGTCGAAAATTTGCGTCATAAATGGCTGTATCTTTTGATTGCGTTGGCTAAGAAGTTTGATTTTTTCACAGCTACAAGGGACAGTAGACTTTCAGCTTGATAACTCCACGCATTCCTGAGAAAAATGGTTTTGACAGACAGACAGACGGACAACAAAGTGATCCTATGAGGGTTACGTTTTTTCCTTTTGATGTACGGAACCCTAAAAATTAATGTTTGTTCGTACCACTACCATACCGTTCATCAGGTTGCGGTTAAACTTTGTCAACTTATTGCTTACACTTGCGCGAAGGTTATAAGCATAGTAAAATTAACTCAGTAGGTGGCGCGTGTGGATACACGCGCCACCTACTGAGTTAATTGTACCAACAATTTTATTTGAAATTAATATATCATTCAACTTCAATAAATGTATAATAATTCCTAATCAAACAATATAACTCTTGCAAATTTAAAACAATATTTCCACAATTATTTCATCCGCGACTGCTACGTGCCGGGTACCAGCTAGTTGGAACAAAGTTCTTTATCGCATTCGCACGGTACGAATTTGACGGATGGGGGCTAGGCGGGAAAATGTGTAAGATTTTACCGTCACGACCCCCTTTCTATAGTGCGAGCGAGATGGAATAATATCCATCTCCCTTCTTACCTACTTTTGTATTAAATTGTGTATTTTTATATTTACAGGAGTTAGTGGCAGCTTTCAATATAAAGTCGCCAATGATGGTTCTAAAGAGAAATTAACTGTGGCCCGACTAGACATAAGCCGCGGCCGCGTATATCGATTACGCGACCCTGGCGCGCGCGCCGTGAGTGACCGCGCCGACCAGTGCGCTCCGCGGAACGCGTTCCAAGTGTATTAACTAAGCGGCAGCCGCTCCAGTGTTTGAACGTTCTAAATGGATGTTGGTCGTGTACGAGCAGCTGCCGCTTTCATAGTTATCTAAATACATCTTCTGTTTTTTTTTAATTATTAAAAAAATGTGTAGCATGCCTTGACAAACAGTTTAACTGTTTTTTAACATCAGCAATTGATTTTTATTTCAACCGCCTTCAAAAAGGAGGAGGTACTCAATACGAGTGTATGTTTTACCTTAAACTATTAACTAAATATATATATATATATATATATATATATATATATATATATATATATATATATATATATATGTATATATATATATATATATATATGTATATATATATATACATAAACTACTAACTTAAATTATTAAGGATAACTTAAAAACTACTGGCCAGACCACATGAGAAGCCCAGCTATCAAATAAAAAAAGAACAGCATTGAAATCGGTGGACCGAGAAAAAAGTTATGAGATAAACACATAAAAAAACATACACTCGTATTGAGTACCTCCTACTTTTTGAAGGTAGTTGAAATAAAATCAATTGCTGATGTTAAAAATGCTTCTTTTTTTTATTTGATAATTGGGCTTCTCATGTGGTCTGACCAGTAGTTTTTAAGTTATCCTTAATAATTTATTTTGTGGTTTCTCTGTGTATTTGTCGGTTGCACTAAAATTTAAATTTTACCACTTGTAAGAGATTTTGTTTTGATCCGGTAGTTCTAAGGAGGTTAAGCGACTTATTAATAAAAGTTTTGTATGTGATTGTTTATGTTCTCGGTGTTTTATTTCGCCACTTTATTTATAAGTGAATAATTCTTATGCTACAACCATAATATTAGCGACACTGCCTGAAGATATTCTTTCGATATTTGCTTCAGTTAATGAGTCGCTATGATATGACGAGTGAGGTTAATTTAAAGAAAAAAGAATCCGTAAAATGCTCAAAATATTTATTTGATAAACAATTACCATACGCCCGTTCGTTAAAATATTTCCAATTCACAACAATTTAAGATATCCGTCTTACATATAGACTTAGTTCTAAAATACTAAAGACAATTTGTTTATACAAACAATAAGGTACATGGGTTCACTGAGGATAGTTTCGGCAGCCATTTAATGATAACAACTTTAGGAAAATATTATTTTATAAGTCACTGATGCATTTGCAATAATACTGCGCTGTATTGCATGAAGTCGCGTGCACTCAGTAAATTGATATAATATAAATATTTACAAATAAATCAAAATCATTAATGCAATTATTAACTTACATAACTTCAAAGAATTTAAAAATAAAGTCGGATAATGTACATATATTTACAAATAAGTGAAATTAAACCAAAGAAATAGTGTAATAAATTATTATTCTTATTGTAAAAAAATCGGTCCAGCTTTGGAGGAAGAAATCGGAGAATACGCGATTTCTTAATTTTTTCATAGCTATATTACACAGTGATTATATACTCTTTGGGTAAAATCTGTTGTTCGAGCTGCAGTTGTGTCTTTTAGTTGTCTAGCTCGGTCGTTCTGGCACAGCGCGACATCGATAGATCGTTAAAACCTATTCTACAAATTTTTTACAACCCAGATATCCTCTAAAATTTTATTCTATTGGTGTTAATGACGTCATATAATATACAAGAGGAGTTTTGGTCTGGGTTTAAGCTGTCAAAATGTATAATTTCAGGATGTCAGGAGATGATTATAGTGTTACTTAATGTATAGTTTGGACTCACATTTTGAAATTGTAGAATTGGACTTTAAACTTCAGATTGTGTTTGAATACTGTCCTAAGAGATTATACCTCATATTTACGTTAAGTGAGGTCCATCTACCTCAATCATGGTTTTTTAATTTCTATTATTAAAAAACAAAAAGAATACTTTTACAAATTATTGAAGTAATACTGCAACAGTGCAAAATATAGTGGCTCTCATGGAATGTTGTTTTAAAATACATATACGGTACCTAACTTCAAATTGTTACTTACAAATACATAGACGTCGCATTTAGAAGTGGAGGAGGCAATTTTCAAGCATGGCATCCGTTCATGCAACACTAGCGATGCGAGGTAGAGTGAGGGTAGGGAGGTGAGGGTGTATAAACATACATGCGTTATAAATTTTTGGCGTTCACTTCAACATAAATGCCATGCCTGTGTAAAAATACAATATACATTATATAGTAATAATAAGTATACACAAATATTATAATTGTTACTGACGGCGAAGGGATCCGCCACACCGTCGCCCCCTCATACCCCGTTACGCCCCGCGCACCCCGCAAACCGCCCAGACATCACGTGAGGTCGCCGACCAATCAGCGTGCAGCACACCTCGTGAGAACACGCTCATATCAAGACACCCGCCGCGGGAATATAAGAAGGGCCTTTTCGGCTCCGATACATTGGATTCGACAGCGGCACTCAAGGAAGAAGAATCAAGATAATCAAGACTCCCTAGAAGATCCCCTCTTATGTATATAGTTATAGTCAACTGACGCTTGTGTAAATAGTCAAATATATTATTTTAAAGTGTAGTAAATGTCCCTAGAAATATTTCACCCTCACATACATAACACATAAATAAAGTAAATACATACAGTCCACTGCAGTACCTTACAATAATAATAATAATATAGTTATAATTATGAAAAAATATATATGACATTCAAATTTATTTTTTTGCTATCAGTTTAAAGAGTATAAGAATATAATAAAAGGGTTATAAATAATCAAATTTAACATTACTATGGCTGCAACGTCAATATAGCTCTAACTTAATATTACCGCAAAATCATTATTCGACATAAAAAAGAAATATTTCTCCGTCAAAGTAGGGACAATTTTATTGAGCTAACTACCTTTACCTATTTATTCATACACCGGATTTGCACCACAGATAATTTTTTTTATTTTTATTTTACTAACGCAGCACCTGTACCTAACAAATGACAATAATAATACTATTATAATTTAAATATGATTATGAACCTAATATAAAATTGAAACTAAATTATGATTAATGAAATATTAAATAAGCTAATGATTTTATAGATTTAATAATTGTTCATAAATATTTGATTCATATCTAATTTCTAAAAAAAATAATGTCTGACGCATGGCACAAACGGCACGGTGTAGTGTACACTGCTTTAAAACCTAAATAAACAAGTAAGTGACGACAGTGATCGATTTAATACAGTTATGGAATGCATGGTAAAATCATTGTGGCATAATGCGGGGATCGCATAAACAAAAAAAAATATTTTTAAGTTTTTACTTCCTTTATTACATTTGTTTACGAGCCTTTGTAGCTAAGGGGATAACCGCTAGACTAATTTTTTTATATATAATACTAGCAATCCGCCCTGGCTTTGCACGGCTGATTTGTGGGTCTCGACCACAGACTACGGGGTCCAATTATAGCTAAGTACCATTCAGGCAACCACATAAGTACCCCAAAACAATTCATAAAAATCGGTCGAGCTCTTTAGAAGAAGAATTACGAACACACGCACACCGGGATTTTATATAATGTGAAAAAAAAATCTATTACTTTTGATTTAGATCATATTCACACAATTTTTTTTATAGGATAAGGTTGACAAACGAGCACAGTTCGATTCGGTTGACGAACGAGTAAGTGGATGCTGTGGCCCATAGACATTTTCGTCTATCCTCGATTACGAATCAGAATGCAGATGCGCTGTCACACGTGATAACTAATATGGAATACCTCGTTTACAGTAAAAAGGGTCTCCGGTTCTTTACACTTACAATACGAAACACAGCAGTATTAAGCTGCTATTTTAGGCTGGCTGGTATTCTGTGAGAGCGTTTATGCTACAACTATACCACTAATATAGCTGCAGCATGGCTCTACCACGTAAAAAATATATTTTTATCGTGATATTGATACATAGCTGTCCGATAGATGGCGTTGTAGTCAAGTTATTAACAAATTCTATATTTTCGGAAAACATGGTTCATATTAACAAAATATGTTGGTTTAGTGCCCAACAAAAAGCAACCCGAAATCTGTACATAATACATTTTATATTTACACTGTAAAAATTGCAGAGTGAAACTCACCGTGCCACCTAGCGTAAAGAGCATGTCAACACCAGCTAGTATAAAAGAATAGCATGCGAGCGAGAAGTCGAGATTTTTTTAAATAAAATAAGGTTGACAAGCGAGCACACAATCCACCTGATGGTAAGTGGACGATGTGGCTCATAGACATCTACATCTATCCTCAATTAAGAATCAAAATGCAGATGATTTGTACCCCTGAGCACTAAAATGAAATGCCAGTGTTAAGCTGCTAAGTAGAGTATAACATTAATATTATTAATAGCAAACTGAATACGATCCCCGTCAGCACCAGTGATATTGAGCGATGAAGGAGAGCATCGTGCGAAACCCGCATGTCAAGTTTGAAAAATCAACGACATTTGAATTTTGCCAGCACGCATTAAGGCTCTTGGAGTCTTCTTTGCTCTAAAACCTAGAATGAGAGACCTGTCCAGAAGTTTACGAGTTGAAATTTGACTTTTTTACTTGTATATATCTACCTATTTATATAATAGTCATTGTCGAATAAAATGGACTGTTTATTTTTAATTAAATAATTTTTAAATCCCAGCAAATAGTCACACACATAATTTTTAACGGCCTACTACTTTTTTGGTGTTTTATTATTATCTGTAGAGTCGCTTCTTTCCGCTTTTAGCCTCGAAATCTCCTCACCGAGGGTGTCAAGATTTTCCTGAAAAAGAAAATTAAATAACTTTTATATGGCTTTTTTCATCGAACAATTATTTGCAGATCATACCAAAATGTTTCCGGGAAGATTCGAACACGCGGCCCCTAAA